TACGTCAAGCGCTTTAAGCAGGATCGTGATTAATCAATGACCAGATTTTTGAAACACCCTGTATACATTTTTCAAAAATCTTAAAATGTGTAAAAACAAAATAAAATATACGTGTTTAAGAGTTTTTCCGAAAAACTCACTGGTTTTAAATAAAAATATTCTAATATTTGAGGGGTTGTTTCACCCCCTTAGAATTAGAGTTTCGAAAAATTCCTTCTTATCGAACTTCTACACCCTAAAGTCAATCCGTTTTCCAAAAATCAGCTTTTTACGTCAAGCGCTTTAAGCAGGATCGTGATTAATCAATGATCAGATTTTTTCGAAACACCCTGTATACATTTTAAAAAAATCTTAAAAAATGAAAAAACAAAATAAAATATATGTGTTTAAGCGTTTTTTCCGAAACTTGACCGTTTTTTAAATAAAAATATTGTAGTATTTGAGGGGTGATTTCACCCCTTTGGAACTGGAATTTCGAAAATCTCTTCTTATCGAACCTCTACACCCCTAAAGTCAATCCGTTTTCCAAAAATCAGCTTTTACGTCAAGCGCTTTAAGCAGGATCGTGATTAATCAATGACCAGATTTTTGGAAACACCCTGTATACATTTTAAAAAATCTTAAAATATGTAAAAACAAAATAAAATATACGTGTTTAAGCGTTTTTCGGAAACTTGACCGTTTTTAAATAAAAAATATTGTAGTATTTGAGGGGTGGTTTCACCCCTTGAACCTGGAATTTGAAAAATCCCTTCTTATCGAACCTCTACACCCTAAAGTCAATCCGTTTTCCAAAAATCAGCTTTTACGTCAAGCGCTTTAAGCAGGATCGTGATTAATCAACGACCAGATTTTTCGAAACACCCTGTATACATTTTTAAAAAATCTTAAAATATGTAAAAAACAAAATAAAATATACGTGTTTAAGCGTTTTTTCGGAAACTTGACCGTTTTTTAAATAAAAAATATTGTAGTATTTGAGGGGTGGTTTCACCCCCTTGAACCTGGAATTTCGAAAAATCTCTTCTTATCGAACCTCTACACCCTAAAGTCAATCCGTTTTCCAAAAATCAGCCTTTTACGTCAAGCGCTTTAAGCAGGATCGTGATTAATCAATGACCAGATTTTTGGAAACACCCTGTATACATTTTTAAAAAATCTTAAAATATGTAAAAAACAAAATAAAATATACGTGTTTAAGCGTTTTTTCGGAAACTTGACCGTTTTTTAAATAAAAAATATTGTAGTATTTGAGGGGTGGTTTCACCCCCTTGAACCTGGAATTTCGAAAAATCCCTTCTTATCGAACCTCTACACCCTAAAGTCAATCCGTTTTCCAAAAATCAGCTTTTTACGTCAAGCGCTTTAAGCAGGATCGTGATTAATCAACGACCAGATTTTTCGAAACACCCTGTATACATTTTAAAAAATCTTAAAATATGTAAAAAAGAAAATAAAATATACGTGTTTCAGCGTTTTTCGGAAACTTGACCGTTTTTTTAAATAAAAATATTGTAATATTCCACCCCCCTTTTTACCCCCTTAGGGGATGAATTTTAAAAAATCCTTTCTTATCTCACGTAAACATCATAAAAGGAACCCCTGTACAAAATTTCAGCTTTCTAGGGTCAAGGGTTTGGTCTGGGCGTTGATGAGTCAGTATCAGTCAGGACAGTCAGATTTATATATATAGATATCATTCTACCTATTACAATTTTTATTACTATAGAAAAAGCTATAATGCGCTGTATCTATGCAGACAGTTTTGCTTTTCATTTCGAAGGAATGAATATGCCAATACCTATTATTTTTATGTTTAAAAATTTCTTTGTTACGAATACCACAAAATGATGAACAAAACTGTACATACCTTCTCATTACAAGATATCTAACTGTGTTAATTTTCGCAATTAATCGGATTTTCCATCTGTAACATTATACTCTACAATATTGTTATTATACGTCTATAAGTATATTTAATAATGTATTTTGAATAAATTAAAGTAAAAACAATACAAGCATACAACTAATGACGCTTGGTGTTTTGTGCGAGAAGGTATTGGTATTTAATTTTTTTATAAAGCATTTCTTTTTTACCTGCTTATACAGGGTAAGTCTTAAATTAACAAGAGCAAATATTTTTAGGGGTAGTATATTTCGACGCCAGAAACACGGTTATGAGTTTTTTTTTCGAGAAAAAAATCGGAAAGTTTGCAATTTTTTGAAAATTTTTTTGAATTTTTTTTAGTTTTTAGTTAGTAAAAACATAATTTCTTAATAATATGGCAACATAACTGGTAGATTAAATTTACAAGAATGAAAACCCAGAAAAGATCCAGTGGTTTTCAAAATTTTAACAAAAAATCATATTTTTTTGTAAATTTTTGAAGATAAATAACTCGGTTATTTTGGACTTATTTGAAAAACGATAAAGAGAAAATATGTTTCTTTTATAATGATCTACCAGCCCTGAAAATATTTGCCCTTATTTAAGACTCACCCTGTACAGGTAAATGAGTGCAAATATTTTAAGGGATAGTATATCTCGACCCCAGAAACACGGTTATGAAGTTTTTTCCTGAAAAAATTGGAAAATTCAGAATTTTTTGAAAAAAAAAATTGGATTTTTTTTAGCTTCGAGTTAAAAAACGAAATTTCTTAATAATATGACAACATAGGTAGTAAATTAAATTTATTTACAAGGAAAAAAAAAACCAGAAAAGATCCAGTGGTTCTCAAAATTTAAGTAAAACTTGTTTTTTTATAAGTTTTCAAAGTAAAATAATGTTAACTCTACTAAAATATTTTCTTTCTACTAGTTTCTTTTATCGAAATCTACCAGCCCTCAAAATATTTGCACTTATTTAAGACTCTGTATAAATATAGTGCTTAATAACGTTTTTAGTGACATAGGACGATGCTATAATCTTTATTTTCAAGAAAATGTTCCAAACCAAACTAAGGTTAAATAAGATTCCCAAAAGTGGGAATTATCATCAGTGATGGTTTTCTTATGTAAACTTTACGCGCTATAAATACTTGAGAACAAATTAATATGTGGAAACCGTTTTTAATTGCGCTCAACTTTTATATCAAAAATGATTGTTTCATTTATTATATCTTGGATTTGAAGGTGTGAGGATGATATGCTAAGCTGTTTTGCAATCTAACTAAAAACGCTGCTATTTTTTTAAGAATCAGCCTATTTTTCAAACTCTGCTTAGTTTACAGATTATATATATTCTTTTTGGTTAATGTTATGATTTTATATTATTGTTTTAATACTAAACTAACCACTTATTTTGGTTTGTTTGTATAATAACCCTTTATGATTAGTTAACCGAAATTGCAGGATTCTTAACTAGTTTAGAAATGAAGGGAACGGCCTCTGTAATTGCGGTGTTAGTATTACTTTATTACCATTTACACTTCTTTGAATATGAGGTTATAACTTTAGAGAATTTTTTTATTTACCATACGGTTTTTTACATTTTGCAATTTTTTAAAGATCCAAACTACTTATAGGTACGTATTATTTAACTTCGTAACTTTAAACTAACACTATAGGGTTTTCTGCTATTTTGAATTGTTTAAGAAACTAGACTTATATAGATTTAATTCTGCTTTGTTATTATATTTAACCGGAAACTATCGGGAATGTGGTCCTTCGATATACCGCGACAGGCATCTCATGTGATCGTAAGCACAGGAACCTCTCGCTTCGACTGCTTGCCTGCTTGTCATGTTTTTCGTGTTTGGCGTGTTCGTTTGGGCTGCTCGCGAGCAATGTGCACACACCTTAAGGGACCAACCTGGGGCACTGGGTCAACACTAAATTATTTTACATCATGTTGTCGTTACAGAAATCATGTCGTTACAGAAATAAAGAAAATAAAAGAATACTTTATAGTAAATAATTAAACAACTTAGGAAGTGATATTGGTCGTTAATGTTTAATTAGTTGATATTTAACAAATTCAGCAAATTTGTGTGAGTTTTATAACTAAAATATACAAATAAAAATGAAATTTATCATATTGCTATAACTTACCCTACCGCTACTTTAACAGGAACCAAATTTGATTTTGTAAACTAGTTGATAAGTAGCTAAACTAGCTGTTTTTTTGATAAACGGTAAACCGTCATAAAATCTCTATTTCAACAAGATAACTTTTTGCTTAGTAATAACTCTAGACTGTTAACAAACTGCTGATTACCTGCTAAGCATTTGGCAATATTGAGCGAATTCCTTCAAAATAACAGCGCTTTCAGTTAACTAGCAAGTGTGCATTTTAGACTTAAAATAATAAGCTTCAGTTTCATAGCTTCTATCATCGAAAATTTTACATATATATTTTCCATATTCGTGTGTATTCATGACTTTGTTAGTATCATGCTTAACTTGGTTCATAAACCAAACTATCTTTAAATTTATTCTATAATTTGATTCTGTGACTAAAATCTTTAATATTTTATCAATGACTTGGATTTTTAATAATGCTTTCGTGCCTTCCTATGAGGTATGTGTCTTATATGTTAAACTCTTTGTATTTAAGTATGCAAAACTTTTATGTTGAATTCCCATTTTTTTTTAATATATGTAATTTACAAAATGTATATCGAAATGACTATTTTTTTATTGAATATATTAATTTATCAGTATTTTCAAGAAACAGAGCCTCAAGGAAAATTAATAGTTTCAACCAACCAAGCATTGAAGTTTCAACGAGTCGCAAGACTAATTTAAAGAAAATTTAAAATTTCTTCATTTAAAATTTAAATCAAAAACATCATGGAAGTTTAACATTACAGTTTTATTTATTTTTTTTTGATTTTGAGCAAACCTATAAGCAGCTGGATTGATGACAGAGGCAAATTTCTGAAACATTCTTCCAATTACTCTCAACAGCTATAATTTATTGTTTGAAATTCTTTCTTACTTTTGAAAATTTCGATATTTCAACAAACACAAATATTTACTGTATTTTTTTTCTTTTCAGATGTGCCACAACGTCTAGTATGTTTCTAACTTTGAAAACTAAATTATTAGTTACCATACTTGTAATAATTGGAGGAATAAACGCACAGCGATGTTATAAACGATGCAATTGCCTGAAGAGTAAATCTGCACAGAAAGCAGCAATGTGCAACAAAAACATAACTTACCTCAACATTCTTGTCGATGAAAAAGGAATAGGAATTAGTTGTCGACAATTATTTCCAGAAGATATTAAAGACACTGTGATATTCGATGCCAAATACTTAACATATATTAACGAAGAGTCTCCAATACCATTGGAGTCTATTGTTAAAAAGTGCCAAAAGTCCAAACAGCGGAATATACAGTACGATTTAAACATGCTCCAATTCGACAATATAACTATAAGTAGCAGTATTTTCGAAACTAATCCTCACATTTCACATTTGAACATAAGAAGTAATGTAAATTCAAATAATACGAAGAATTTTTTCAAACTAGATGCAGACTTTTTGAAAAATGCCTCTCATTTAAAGGTCCTGACTATCAAAAATAATAACTTAATGTACATGGATAGCATTTTTAAAGAATCCTCTTCGATAGAGATTTTGGACTTATCATCTAATAGATTAGAAAACTTCAGAGCAAATCTTTTTGCAGGGTTTGAAGACTTGAAGTCACTAATCTTACAACAAAACCAAATCACGTTTTTGAACAAGGAGATGCTAAATGGATTGGAAAATATTACATATATTGATTTAAGTCAAAACAAAATAAATAAAATTGAGAGAAATGCATTTGATGATTTTTCAAATCTTGAATATCTCAACATTAGTGCCAACAACCTGTATATTTTACCCAATGACCTTTTCAGTGTTTCCATCAACATCAAATACCTGGATTTAGCAATGAACGAAAATTTGTTATTACCAGAAAATATATTTAGTCCTTTAGAATCACTGACATCTCTCAATTTGAGCAATACAAATTTGAAAGAAATTTCAAAGGATTTTCTTCAAACGAATACAGATTTGCAAGTTTTGAATTTATCAAAAAATAGTATTAGTGAATTGAAAACCGATGCTTTTACGAATTTGTATAATTTAACTCTTCTGGACTTAAGTTACAATAAACTGCAATATTTACCAAATACAGTGTTTTCAAATTTAGGGAAAATAAGAAAAATTTACCTGAATGACAACCGACTCACTAAGATTGGTGTAAATATTTTTTCACATCTAAATTACTTGGAAATTATTGATTTAAGTGGCAACTTAATTGTTGATATCAAAGAGTCAGATGAACACGTTAAATGCAATGAAGTTATTTTAAAAAATAATCTTCTATCAAGATTTCCAGCATTTTTAATATACAATGCTTCAATCTCGAACTTGGATTTGTCGAGAAACCTGATAGATGAATTTGTTTTGGTAAGTATTCAATTTTAGTACCTATAGAAACTGAGTATAGTCTGTCCAATGACAAGATCCTTGACAACGATAGATGTGTCTGTCATTTTATTTTCAAAGTAGTTTATTTTATTTTACTAAGAAATAAGATTGTACAATTGGAACGCATAACAGAAAATTAAAATATTTAAAATTTGAGTGACAAGTGATTATATACTTCAAAATATTGTGAAAAAACTGTATAAAATTGAAAAATCTAATCGCGTTATTTTATTAAAAACAATTACAGTATGTGTTAATACAAAACAAGCAATGGTGTATTAAAAAAACACCACATACCAAAAAAAGTATAAAAAGATTTCCTGATTTCAAGCCGTGTTTCAAGCCCAAGCAACTTCCTGCATTTATTTTTACATTTATCAATATAACTTATGTAAAAATAAAAAAAAATATTACAAAGGAATAAAAAAGACACAACATAAATAAAACAAAATATTTTATTAATAATAACACTTACTGACTTGTATACCTTAACAGTTTGTTAATTAACTTTAATTTTAATTTTTGTCAACCAGCACCTTTTGACATTATCTCTCTGCAATACTAAAATTTATTATTTACCTATTGTATGCTGCTATGTTACAGATATTTTAGTTTTTGGTACCATATACGAAATGATATACAAACTTTATTTGTGGCTAATACAACTTTCTGGCCATAATCTCTGGAAAACTGTCTCTGGCGGTCCCTAGGCAGCAAATATTAGCTGTAAACTATGGGCTGGGTCAACACTTAATTTTCACGCGAATATTTCTCCACTTTTAAACCTTTTAAACATTTTAAAAACACGAAACACACGTAATAACAGAGTCCAAAATGCAAAATATTTATCATTTTTATGTGACATAATTTGACACTAAATTATAACCTATAATTTGGAAAGAGTTTGACAACTCTCAAACTTAAACCAATAAAACTGGTTATAAACAACAAGAGATGACGGATTTATACAGGGTTGTTCACCACATACGACACGGAGTATTGTAGCTAAACGATTAGACTTTTACAAATTGTAAGTTTTGGGTTCGTTTAAGGACTATTAGAGCTACAATTTAAAAATATTTTTACAATGTCCCAAATAAATAAAAAATATCAAAGTTGTATTTTTTTAAATGGAATACCCTATATATTATTACATTTTCAGTTTCTACAATTAAAATAAAGGTAAATTTGATAAAGGTTTATCACACTCAAAACTTACCGTTTTTGCAATATTTTCAATTTTGTGAAATTGCAGTCAAAATTTTAAGGCTTCATTTCTCCAAGGGTATCAAAGTTTTTAATACTAAATATTTACTGAAGTTTATTTATTGATCAGTTATTGTGTTGCAATAATAAAAATTAGACTACCTTATACAGAGTGTCTAAAATTTTATTTTAAATAATTACTAGCTTTAAACGGCAATAACTTGTTTAATTTAAATGGAACACCCTGTATATTTTATGAGAATCAGATGCACAATTTAATTGTCTATCAAATTGTATTATACCATTTTTTACCTATCTCTTCAAGTTTCTGTAGAAAATGAATTTTCTTGGAATTTAAAACTCATTTATCAACATACCCATGGAATACTGACATTTTTTAGATTATTTTTAAAGATGTACCAAATTTATAAATACTACAGATACTAATATTGTCGATATAGTTTGTTTATTTCATTAAAAAATAAAAGAAAACTGTTTAAATATTTGTTAAAGAGGACCAATTAATATAATTCCAGTATTCAAACTACATTAATTGACCGTTTGCGTTGATTAATAATAATTGGTCCAAATACTAAAAAACTTAATTTTGCATGTGTATTAGATAGTGTGGTAAAAAGTAAAACCTTAAAAATTATATTTCATTTTTTGACAAACGCTTATTTATAACAACAGAGACATTCACATAACTTATTATTTTATTGATTGCTGATTCAAATCCACATTTATTTAGAATAATTTATTAACGAACTTAATTAAGTATGTAATTAATTAGTGTTTGTGCGGAAATAATGGTGGTATATTTAATTAATGGTATACTCTTTTATAAAGACTTAAATAGTTTTCTTTTTGCATACAAATGGGCTAGTAATATTATCATTTTACTAAAAACGATAATATTACTAGCCTGTAGTAAGAAATAATTTAAAATAAATTTTTAAACACTCTCTATGAGGTACTATTATTTTTATTATTGCAACACAATAATGGATCAATAAATAGACTTCAGTAAATATTTAGTATTAAAAACTTTAATACCCTTGGAGGAATGAAGCCTTAACATTTTTACTGCAATTTCACAAAATTGAAAATATTTCAGAAACGGTAAGGTTTAAGTGTAATTAACCTTAATCAAATTTACCTTTATTTTAATCGTAGAAACTAAAAATGTAATAATATACAGGGTGATCCATTTAAAAAAATACAACTTTGATATTTTTTATTTATTTGGAACACTCTGTATCTGGTAAAAATATTTTTAAATTGTAGCTCTAATAGTCTTTCAACGAACCCAAAACTTACAATTTGGAAAAAACTAATCATATAGCTACAATACTCCGTGTCGTATGTGGTGAACAACCCTGTATATCGGGTCCGTCTCAAAAGTGGCTCCCCCCTATAATTTTTTTTATTTTTTCAGATAAAAATACGAGATTTGGTATGGTAGTATATGACATAAATTAGGAATGATTGACGTATTCAATTGTTTTCGGTCACTTCCTGTTTCACCGGAAATTACTACAACTTTTGATTTTTAAATGGCACCACCCTCGCTATTTTTTTACTTTATTCGATAGAAAATGACACTCTGAATCGAACGAGGTATCATATGTAAACTACTGACATATTCGCTCAAAAACAAATTGTATTTTAAATTTCATTCTAGAGTGCTATGGCTGTAAAAATATTAATTTTTAATCAAGGAGTCTTGAAAAAATAGATTTAATCGTCTAATGTTTTTGGTGTCTCGTCCTGGCCGGTTAAAAGATGCCCAAATCGTATTTTTAATCATATCTCACTTTTTCCAAATGGACTGAGGGTGGCTCATTAGCCTATTTGGAAAAAGCATTTTTTTACGAATAATTTGATACCACATACTTGGTATTTTGAGTCAAATTGTCGTTATGAACTGCATGTTACAATTTCAAATAAACCATATGCGAAAATGTCAAAAGTTGACTTATGAATAAGGTAAAAAAAATACCGAGGGTGCCGTTTAAAAATTTGTAGCCATTTCCGGTGAAACCGAAAGTGACGGAAAACAATTGAATATGTCAACCAATCCTAATTTATCTCATACACTAACATCCCAAATCTCGTTGTTTTATCTGAAAAAATAAAAAATTTATAGGGGGTGAGCCACTTTTGAGACGCACCCGGTATAAACCCATCCATAGTTAACTTAAAAAATATTAGAAAGTTTTTTTAGTTAAATAAATGGATTGGTATTGACGTCATCTGCTTTTTTTCTGTCATCGTCTGTCGAAATCTTACCTGAAAAAAAAACAACAGAGTATATAATAATTAGTATTAATAATAAGTTAGAAATTATGAATTTTAAAGTTTAAGAGATTGTGTTAACAAAAAAAGTTTTTTAACAGAATGGGTGGTTTATAACGCTGTTTGCACGGCAACCGTGTCAGTCTCCTATAAAGATCCTTTCGTGGAATGTTGTATACTAATGTGCCAAATATTACGACATTAAAAGACGAGTAAAAATAATTAATTGTGATATTCATATCTCTTCACAGAGTTGCCAATATTTACTATTGTACGTCTTTTCATTCATTCACGAAAATTTCTAATTTATTTACGAGTCATTACTGCATATAAAAATTGAATTTATATTTTTTATTTTAATTATGGTTTTGTAATGCATAAGTTAATTTTTATAATCATATACTAAAATATATTTAAAAAAATATAACAATTAAACATTCGAACTTTTTTTGCAACAATGATTATAATCGGAAGTCAATATCAATATTTTCTAATGCGAGAATAGTGCAAAATATGCTTTTTTATCTCAACTTCCTCTTGTAATCGGGAGATTAATATATTTAACAGAAATTGATATTTAAAATATAATTCTAACTATCTTGACCAACAATGTCTTCTCTGGGCCGAAAATCAACAAACTCTGACATTCAACTGTTTCCAAAACTTACTACTCCGCTACTCGCCAACATCAGCGGACACGGGGTGCAGGCACGGCGTGAAAATGACTGCCTATCATAAGGATCATAGGCGTCGATAACTTTCGGCCATTCCTGACTTTTGAGTGTCCTCAATCCTCTGAATCACACTAAAAGGACATAAATAACACAGGCCGACATGATTTTTGTAACACGAGTCAGTTGCAGAATTTCTTCATAAAAATATGCTTCTAATAACAGAAAAAATACTCCTGAAGCTCCTACACGTACCACTTTTCAGTTGCCTAATTACGCCTCTTTTTTGCAGGTAGTCAATTTTATAGATGTCAGGTATTAAGTCTAGGTAGATTCGTTTACATACAGGTAAATTTTATGATGGGATGATTGAAAGGGACGCATTTTGTGCACTATAATATATTGTGAAAAACATAAGAGAGTTCAGTTTTCAGTTGATTTTCGACGTGAGTTGTTCTATGCGTGTAGATAAATAGTACGAAAATGTCAAGTCAAACGCGCCGCAGTTGTAAAGTGTCTCCTGATCGATTTTGTTACATTTATGGAGAATTTATGGTGCAATCACAAGCCAGACCATTTTCTGAAAATGTGAAGAAAGCCTACTTCAAGTATTTTGGAGTTTTGGTTGGAGATCAAGACAAGCAGTGGGCTCCTCATGTGTGCTGCGTTACTTGTAGCGTGTCGCTTGTGCAGTGGATGAAAGGGAAGAGGAAAAAATGCCATTTGCGGTTCCAATGGTATGGCGAGAACCAACTAACCATTTTGACGATTGCTATTTTTGCCTGACGAAAACTGAAGGTTTTT